GAGGGAGGGGGGAGAGAGAGAATGAAAACAGAAAAACCCTGAGGGAAGGGCAGGGCACAAAGGAGGAGGCATGGGAAGGGGCATGAGGGACAGATGCAGTGGGACAGGAGAAGACATTAAAACTGCTTGAAGGCTATGTGAGGCAGGAACAGAGAAGGGTTCTAGGAATGGGCGACACAGAGAAGAGTGTTTGGGGGAAGTGGGAGGAGACATGAGATGCAAAGATTTGGGAAAGTGTTGGCTGAAGAGAGAGTTAGGGGATGAGGAACATGACAGAGAAAGAGAGAAGACACAGGGGAATAGGCATATACAAAAAGAGAGGGGGAATGGAACTGGGGAGAGAAAACCCAGAGATGAGGGATATAAAAGGCATGGGGCTTTAAAGAAGGCATCCTGGCCCCCAGCCCCTCAACCCCACCAACATCATGGTCTCTGACCCTCTCTCCCTGGCCCTGAGCTCTCCAGTGCCTGTCTCCATGGTGGGCCTCACCTGTGGTCAGAGTGATCCAGAAGGCAGGCCCATGGTGAAAGTGTAGTGCAGCGGTGCCCAGGCGCAGAGGACAGGGTGGGGTGAGTGACGTGGCCATGGAGAAGAAGAGCAGTCCCAACAGTTGGAAGATGCCCGTGGCAAGCAGCATGTAGCAACCGTAGACCAGCACAGGCATGGACAGCATCACGTTGGCCAGCAGCCAGCAGAGGAATGCCACCCTGGAGGGCCAGCACCCTGTGAAGGCTGGCCCAGGTGCCTCTACCTGGAGGTCTCCAAGTGGAGGCTCAGGGACCCAAGGATCCCCCAGGATGTGAGGTAGGGATTTCTGCTTTGGGCTTCCCAACTGAGGACTGTGGTGACTGGTGTCAGCCCGCTACATAGGGGTCTTCCCATGAGAGGAGGAGAGATGGCTAGAAACCCTGTTCCTGGGTCTGGGCTAACAGGGCCCCATTCCATCCTCACCACAGAATGGCCGAGGTGTAGTGTCCTGCCAGGCGGTACTGGTCATGCAGGCCACATGGGCTGGTCTGGGTGAACTTCTCAGCCAGGTAGAGCACAGGGTCTGGCAGCCCCTTCTCCAGGGCTCTTGAATACTCCTCAGCATAGTTCTTCCCTAGGCGCCAGGTGAACTCCTCATTGTAATTGATGGTCTCATTCAACTGCTGCACTGGGGTCCCTGGGAAATGGGGCAGCTGTACTCAGCAGGGACCCAAGGGCCAGAGTGGGGTATTTGGGTGGGTAACAGGCTCACCGCAATGGGCAGAGGGACAGGAGCTGGTCTCAATGGAGAGAAAGCAGCTTTCAAGACCTTAGAATTCCCCCTCCTACCATCCCTCTATCTTGTAGCTCTTTACACCATACCAAACTAGAGCCCAAAGACACAGAGTGGAGCTTTCCCCTCCCTCACCAGTAAGAGCCCTCTCTCACCTGTGAGCGTGATGTTGACTCCTCCCAGCCCAACCTGGAGCCCAACGTCAGCGCTGATCCACTGGGAACTGAAGGCCTTGTATGACGTGTTGGTGCTGACCTGGGCCACAGACCACTCAGAACTGAAATTCACAGCTAGGGTTGGGGAGTTGGACATACGGGAACTCAGGGAGTTCTGGGCATTGCTGAGTTAGAGTCAGAGGGAGAGCTACAAGGGGACCATGTCTGTTTTGCTCGTAATTGTATATCCATTAACTAGCCTAGGGTCTGGCTCATGGTTGGTTTGCCAACAATGTGTAAGATGAACAAATGAGTCAGAATCCTAGATTTCCTTTGGTCATGATCCTCTTACCCATGCTTGGCTTCCTTTCCCCATTTAGGGAGAGCTACTCAAGCAGCTTGAGGAGGAAAACATTAACATAACAAACCATGCTGGGCAAACACAGCTTCAACTTAGAGACTTTTCATTTCTCCTATTTGCCTAACTCTCAAAGCAAAGCAGGCAGCCCTCCCTCTATTCTCCAAAAGCCCTCTCCCCACAGATTCATTTTGACCTTCTTTCCTCTGAATAAAAAGGTTAGGAAGGCTGGAGAGATGCATCCAGGTCAGTTTCCCAGGGCCTGCACCCCTCTGAGCAAGGGTAAAAGTGAGGAGATACAGTCACAATGAGGGAGGCATGTGGGCAGGGTCTGGAAGGCCACCCTGAAGCAGAGGCTGCTGTGGGGAAACAAGGAGAGGCCAGACCAGCCGCTAAGGGAGCCAGGTGGGACGGAGGCACTGCCTGAGACAGCTGTGCTTCACACTCACCCAGGATCACAGCCCCGATGAATAAGCTGGTCACCACCCGCAACAGCCAGAACAGCCTCTGAGCCATAACAGGGGGAGTGGGTTTAGGAAGGACCCTAAACCCACTCCTCTTCCTAAACCCACTCCCCCTGTTATGGGGAGTGTCCTCCTTCCAAGTCCACCCTCCCTCTTTCCAGCCTTGGCGTCACTCGGTCAATTGAGATCAGAGTGCCTGGCACATAACAGGTACTCAATAATCATCTGTTGAATCAATGAGTGGGAGGGCTCTCTGCTGGGGGGTAGGGTGTTGCTTTCTCAGGACTGGAGCCTCTTTCCTGAGTCTGCTTGTGGTGAGAGAGTATGGCCCTCTCTGGGGGTGGGGACCCCAGGGCTGGGTTTGTTTCTTACCATTTTGCCCCGAATGCCAGGTAGGATGACGATGAAAGTGACAAGTGCAGTCAGAAAGATGGTGACGATGATGGCCAAGGTGGTGTCCATCGGGAAGGTTGGCTTGGGGCCAGCATAGAAGGGGAATGTCTGTCCAAAAGCAGCCATTTTTGGAGGTGTGTGCAGGGGAGGCAGATGCTGTACAACAGGAATAGATATTTATTGAGTGCCCTGGGTGCCAGGTACTGTTCTTGGCTCTGGAGATACACCTGAGAATAAATGAGATCAGGCCCCTCTTCTCTGGAGCTCACCAGACTCCACTGTTAACTGCCATTCCACTGCCCCTGAGCCATCCATCTTCCCACGTTTTGGCTGTGAGAAAATGAGGGTCTTGGCAATCGGTCTCTGTGGCCCCATGCTCCCTTCCTAACCTCCAGGTCCCCTAAATCAGTGCCACCACTACCCTGGAGACTTCTCTGCTTCCTTTGGGACTGTCTTAAGAAATATAATTTTTTTTTTATCTCCCTCAGGCCTCCAGCACAAGCAGACAGATTGTAGAACATAAAAAGAGCTACATTTACTATCAAGTGAAAGCATAAGGATGAAAGATAGTACAGATTACAAAAAGGTTGGCTTTCCTCCTCAGTCCCCAAAGGAACAAAGGCCAGACAGCTCTGCTAAGTATATGATCCAACTACATCATCAGAAGGCTGATTTCCATACATGGCACTGTCCACACTGGTCTGTCCAGCTTTCTCAAGTGCCTGGCTCCTGCTCTGGCAACTCCAGAACAATTGAGCTGAATTGAGTTCACCTCAATAAGCACTGAAGGAGCACCTGCTCTCCACCAAGCATGGTGCCGGGGCCAGATGTCCTTCTACCGCACACATCGTCAACCACAGCCTTCCTCCTTGACTTAAATTCCCAGGCCTCATTTCAGCTTAAACACTGGCTCAGCTCTTCTCTGCTTGTTCCCTGATCTCAGAGCTAGATTGACTCTAGTTTGTCCCTTTGCAGACAGATACTGTGTTTTGTTAAATCTAGACAGAATGGATTACAAGACAAGCTCTTATTTTATGTAAAAGAAAGAAAGAGGAGAGAGAGAGAGAGAGAGAGAGAGAGAGAGAGAGAGAGAGAGAGAGAGAGAGAGAGAGAGA